GAGCAACAGAGGTGCTTTGTGTGAGTCACAACACATTAAATGAGTGCGAAAAAAGAAGAAAAAAAAAATAGATAAGAGTTATAGCAAGTTAAAAAAAAACTATACAATAACAGTAATAATGATAATAATAATTATACATAGCAAAGTAACAGAGAACATCTGACGATGCGGATAATTGAGAAATTTTCTAAAGTGAAAATTTCTTAGACTTTCAACGCGGAGTTGACGATTCCCTTTTGCAGTTGACTCCGATTCTGATTAAATATAAATTTTCTCTGGTTTCAAATGCATTTCTCACTCCAATTATTTAGTTGTTTTCTCGTTGAAATACTTGAGTTTAATACAATAGATAAGACAAATAATAAAAGACTATAGTAATGAGTGCTACGAGTAAAACACCGTTAATTAGCAACATACGAGTATTGTTAATTAACACCAGTAAACAATTGGCAGTTTGATAGTTTATTTTAATGGATAAAATTTACGTTAGCAATGGTAATATTACTCGCGAAAACTGAATTGAGTGGTCCCAGATTTAGTTGAATTTGGGACTCGAATTCACGCTATATTCACTCGTTACCACTCGTCTTCATTTCCGTCTACTGTTGGCTCACGATTTTACCCGGACACACCCCTTTACTCTCACTTCAATAAACTTGTATGCATGTCGAAACCCCTGGCTCGTTTCGAGTTTGTATCCTGATCTACCTTGTTACTAGTTCCGATGCGAGTGAGTACGACAGTTCTCATGGATGTTAAAATTATATTATACCATTTCCTTACTTCCACTCATTCTCTATGATACACTTATTAATTATGACGATTTACAAATTCATTAATTAATCCTCATTTATTTTATCTCAAAGTATCTGGTTGTCTTACAGATAAAACTTCTTAAAAGAATTAATGCAAGATTTGAAAGATAAGCTAAACCTAGACATTCATGTTCTATGAATCGAAAACTAATTATTAACTTCTCTTTATTATACGTTTAAGATAATTAATTTTTCAATAATCGTTCAATTAGATATTTTGATTTAAAAAATTGAATACAATGTTTCTGTTTGTAACTAAATTACTTAAAATTAATTATAGACTTTCCAGTAAGGGAATTAATTTTCATATTCATGAATAATTTATTATTAATTATTTAAAATATTTCTTATTATTTAACTTGATGTTAATTTTTTGCAAATAACTATCTCCATGCACCAGAAGAATAGATTCAAAATTATTTCCTACTTTTTTACTTCCTACCATAAAAACAAAACCCAGAAAAATATCTTCTATCTCTGCCAAGTAAACTCTTTAACGCCCTCCAGAAATAGACGAAAAAATCTGAAATTCAGTAGCATCTACATTAGTTGTGCGAATGTGCAAGTATCCTTGATGATCAAATTGCATTTCCAATTCATCCGGAAGTAAATGTTGTTTTTTATGCTCCCTACAAAAAAGTTTTCCCTACAGATTCTAAACAACAAAACAAAATTAGCACTACACCTATAAAAGCTTTTTATTGGTGAAACCCTGAGCAGACATTTTATTCTTAATTGCTTCACTAAATTATATACATATATAATAATTAATCAATAATATTTATGTTCATAATCATAATAATGATGATAGTTAATAAGTTTCTGAACTACAGTTTAATTATAAAGTATATCTGTATAGCTTCTCAACATAAATTAATCTTCAACCATATCTTGATAATATCAAGTACAGAATTCAATAATTCGCTTGATATCAGAACAAGAACTTGGAGAATAATACTCAAGGGTCTGAGAAGTCAAGAGAAACGTTAAGTTATCGTCATCTCTTGGGTACATTGAAACGTTGCGAATTAATTCACTTAAAGCTTCTACTAGTAAATCCTTGGCTTGTACTTGTTAGTATGAAAAAGAACGAAAAGTTACAGACATGATAAAATAAGAAAACCGACAATTCAAAGACAAGAAAGTGTTTGTGAAATCACCAACATTCTGAGGTGTCTACATTACTAAGGACTAAATGGACTTGTGCCATTTGTCCTCACGCTTCACTTGTTGCCTGCAAGCGTCGTTTCTAGGTCTGAAGGTACCAGGAGTAGTTCCAACAAGAACAGTTGCTCTTACTTTCTTGTAAGAAAAGGAAAAAGATGCCATTGAGATTCGAGATTAAAAACGAAGAAATAAAATCTTTAGACAGAAAAGAATAAGTAAGAAATTCTCAAGTGTAAAACTCAGATCTGATTATTTTAAATCTCAGCATTTATACGAGAATGTGTGTAAGATGCTTCCCCTTTATCGAAAAATAATGCTTACAAAGTACTCTATACAATCATGCTGGGTAAATTATGTCTTTAACCTAGACTTTCGCTAGCAAAGCGAAGCAATTTAATGAATTCCGACACGGATAAAATGAATGATGTAAAAATTATACTTGATGTATTCATTATATAATCATCGAAATATATATTCATTTTTATACTAAAAGAACCGGGTCTTTTTCAGATACATATCAAATGTTTAATAGACTCATCAATCATCGAAAATTTTGATACAATAACTGATTTATTGTAAATATTATATAACTCTATATTTCGCTGGATAAATCATTTTAATTAACTCAATTTTATTGAAAATTGAAGTTAGTCTATAAAATTTTAATTAGTAAATATTTTAAATTAAATACGAAATGATTATGAAAATAATTTTATAATTACATGTAAAATTACAGAAAATTTTATCTCAGTTCTAACTTAATTAAAGAGATGCGGTGCATAAAACTGTGACCTATTAATGTTATTACATACTCATTACGTTACTTTAAAAAGAAACTATTTTTACAAAGTATAAAAAATATGTATGGTATCTGAATACATTATTATCTATTTCACTCAAAACTGAGAAGTGTGAATATTAAATTTTTAATTATTTTTTTCCATTGTATAATTATAACGTATGAGTTTCTAAATTGAATTTTTTAAAAAATTTTAATTATTTTCTCTTTCCAGTTTTTATTTAGCATTTAGTTAATTATCAAGTAGGATTCATTAAGACAATTATAGCTTGTTAATTGACGTAACACAGTTACATTGTAGAATTATAAAATCTATCAAATGATCCCAGCGAGTTTAATCGTAATCAATCAGTTTGGGAAAATTTTTTAAACAATATCGGAAAAGTTAATCAAACAAACTGATCACGTACCGAGCACATAGGGTATTACACAACAACGACCTGTCACTTATTCCTAAAATTTCAAATTCTACAAACGTACTTTTCCCACAACAAGTGGGCGAAAGCAAAGAAAGTCAAGCTTTACAATGGTTTGAATCACGGAAAAAAATTATTTTTAATTAAAAAAAAAAAACTAGTAATAAATAATTGCGAACTGAAAGTAAAGTTACTTTACTAAATTTGTATTCTTTTGTAGATATTTTAAATTTTATAATTCAATTATTCAAATTAGTTGGGCTGCAGAGATTTTAAATTCTAGATTGGCAGTGAGTGCACAAAGTATGAATAAACAAATGAAATTCTAGTGTAAATGTAAATTATAGAAAAAATAGATAAATAATCAAGATAATTTGTATCTTTGTTCATTCGAATTCGCAATTGAATAATATAAAAAATTACCAGCTATCGAGTAATTTATATTGGGTCAACAAAACAAAGGTCCTAGACTTCGAGTATCCGACGTTTTTCATTATACACATTCGTTTATAACATTTAAAACATTCAATTGAAAGACAAGTAACCAAGTGCTGCCATGAGTTGTTGTCACTCGTTTTCAAACAAACCAATTTTATCTTCCTCCTAGTAATATTACCATCATGGAAAAAACGCTTTGCTGTCGCAACAAATCAGAGGTCTGTTTCTGCAGCAGCCTTGATTTCTATTGAATCTGTAGTAAAATTCATAGATGAAATAAGTTGAGAATGAAGATAAAATATACATCCCCTTTAAAATAACTTCATTATTTAAAAATCATTTAATGGACTACTGTAGAAATAGACCTCCAATCAGCTGTGGTAACAGAGTATTTTTCCCATATATACTCCAATAATCTCGACTATTAATATTCCATTTGATTCTCAATTACATCAAAAATAGATTCAACCTACAAACATAAAAATTCGTTAGAACTGCAACAATTAATATGATTAAATATAAATGTATGAAAATTCATTAACAGCTTTTGAGGTATTTTGGAATAAACATCAGTTACATCTCCACTTTGCATACGTTTGCTTCATATAGACATAGTTACGGATAAAATTTTTATACTTGATGAACGTATAACGGCCCTTACCGTCTGTCTGCGTGCGTGTGTGTATGTAGGTACAGCCTTTACGGATTTTTCAATCACACTTCAACACTGATAGGATTAATAGAGTGGACGTTGAGTTCCTATACTCGTTTCATACAAAATCGAATTTCATTTTCCAGATCGAGCTTTCTCTTCATCTCTCATTCTCTATCTTCACATATACATGTAAATGAATTCCTATATGCGTACGCATAAAATACAATCCAACTATTGCATATATCACTGTGTACGTAGATCGTTTACTGTGGTACACATACACAGCTAGTAGATATCCTTTTGATGTTGAAAAGAGTAAGCTGGTAGACATTAGTACACAGACAAGCACAAAGGGTAAAGGCGAGAGCTTTTTTGTTACAATGAGTTATATAATAAGTTTATAAAAATTTTCATGATATAACTATAGAAGGTGAATGTATGTACCCTCGGTGGTGACAATATCACAAAAACAAAAATTATTGAAGGCATAAGAACAGAAAAAAATCTCTATTATGAGCGTATGAAAATGTTTTATGAATTTTTAAAAAAATTTAAAGCTTTATATTCTCATCTCATATTATTTTTCTGATATTTAATTTATCCATTGAAATTCTATTCAATTCAAATAATATTACAATTATTTTTAATATTTTTATAATAAAAATGTTAAATATTATTAATAAGGTAATTAACTAGTAATTTTTTTACAGTTGTCTTATCCAGAACAATGGAGTTAGCCAACCTAACAGACTCAAGTATTGAGAATGATGATGATGATCTACTATCAGAAATAAATTTCGAACAATTTAAAAATTCTATACGAAGATACCGAAGATTAATTCCCTACATGAGTTTCTATATCTCCAATTATAACGTCGACAATCAAAGGCTACATCAGTTACATCAACAAAGTAATGAGAATTTCTTACCACCACCACCAGTAGTCTTATCACCGATAAACGCACAACCACCATTAAAGCCTAAACAAATAGTCATTATACCACAGCCAAAAGATTCGTGGAAGAAGCCATTGAATCAACAGAGAACTACAACACTCGTTGAGCCAGAGAAGTTTATTCCTTCAGTACAATATGATCCTAAAGATATTGGAGGAGATAACGACTACTTTATGCCAGTCAGATACAACAAGGTGAGTTATGATGAGTACCATAGAAACTATGAGAGAAGACCACCACCATCATATCCTGAGATAACAACCCCGAGTAGTCAAGTGAATAGATACTATGCAAAGGAGCGACCTGTGAGACCTAAAATTCTTGCTCATAATCTTCCTTTATATGACCGACAATATCCTAAACAAGTAACTCGTCTTCCAGACCATGTCTTTGAATATAATTTGAAACAGAAACCCACGCCAGTTGATGATTTGTATTATCCAGTTGATGATTTTGAGTCATTAAAGTTTATCAAAGTGAACCGACCATTGGAAAATTATCATCAACCAATTCATGTCACTACAAAACCTGCTGTGTATGCACCTAGATATTCAGAATTGCATGATAAAATTTTGAAAAGTCTTCAACTAACAAACCAATTACCAGAAATGCTTAATAAAGATAACATCGATTCAAGCATCAAAACTTTGGTTGAAATTTTAAGCCTACTTAACAGTGCTAAGAAACAGGAAGCATCAAGATTACCAGAAACTCCAGTGGTTGAACAAAATATACCAGCTTATAAAGAATTCAAAGTGCAACATTCACAGCCTAAAGTCGTGACAGAAACGAGGTTCCAAGCGACTCCAGCTCCTATAATTCCAGACGAAATAATACGATTCAAAGCTCCTTCTTATTCAAATAATGTCGCAAAACCCGAATCAATTAAGTACTCAGATTACAATGATGACAGTGGTTTGAAGAATCAAAATGTCATACAGTTGTATTCAGGTCTAGTTCAAGACATGAATAAAGGAGGAAATTTCGCGACTTATACTCTTATTAAGCCTCAAATAACTGAAGATTCTCATCAAAGTTCGTATGAGATAACTGAAGACGCTGGCGAAAAGGATAAGGAGCTTCCACCTATCGTAACAGAAGCACCACCAAGTCATTACCAGTTGACTGAGGGATTCAATACGCCTACAATGTCTATTAAATCAGGCGCTATTCGAGGAAAGCCTAACCTTGATTATCCAACGTACGCTTCAATACCTCACACAGACTTCAATTGTAAAGATCAACGCTACAAAGGATTCTTTGGTGATCCTTCAACGCGTTGCCAGGTAATTTATTTCTTGATAAAAATACCTTTGCTATTAATTAAACAAATTAAAAAATTATAAAATAATAAATTAAATGTTAAATTTTAATTAATTAATTTGTTTTAGGTATGGCATTACTGTGACTTAAATGGAGGTAAATCATCATTCCTCTGTCCTAATGGAACAATATTCAGTCAAGTTGCACTGACATGCGACTGGTGGTTTAATGTGAAATGTGAATCAACAACACAACTCTATGTATTAAATGAAAGGCTATATAAATTTATACTTCCAATAATGCCTAAATTTCCTGAAGATTTTATTGGCCCGGAAGTTGACCGGTACCTCGAGCTCAAATTTAAAGAAATGGAAGCTAAATTAAAGGCAAAAAAGCTAAAAAAAATCATGGAGAAAAAGACAAAAGAAAAGCCACAACAAGTTAATCAAGAAGAATAATGTAATACGAGTGGATCTCGCATAATTTAGTTGCCATTTTATAAAAATATATTTATATTTCTAGCTTGCGCATTTTTTTTAATTATTTTAATTTATACTTGATTCAATTGTAAAATACTAGAAAGCGAACGGGTATACTTATTATACATTATGTTAATACATAAGTATTTTCTTCTTTTTTCTAGTCATCGAATTAAAATTATTTTATTTATTGAATTGCTTGATCCACTCTAATCAACAGCGCTATCTCGTACCTATTATTTTATTTTTATTTAAGTTTAGTATGCATCAATTTGCAAAAAGATAAAAAAAATGCTGCCTATTAATTTTATTATAATCTTTTATATGGTGATGGACTTTTAGAAATATTTATTGTTAATTGAAAATCAATTGACTGTCAAATAATTAATTTACTGGATGCTTCTCCAGTGCAGAACAGTGTGATTTTTTTACTATTTAATTCCTACTGTGTACCTAATTTGTGTTAGTTATCTTGGAGATATTTTAAATAAACTTCCATGTTTTGTATATCTATTGTAAAATTTCTTCTTTTATAAACTTATTTAAATCTTACCTTTTTTGCTGCTTCAGTCTTCTGAAGAATTTCTACTGCTATGTTATAAGCTTCTACAAATTCTTCTCTGTTTGCCATGTTCTAAATCATAAATAAACATCAAAAAAAAATTTATGTTAATAATTACACTATTTAAGAAAATAATAATTAATTGAATATGTATGTATATATACCATTTGCTTTAACGGTAAAGTTGAATGATTTCTATGACAATTGATAACACAATCTGAACAGCACGATAATTTGCAATCATTACACCAATGCTTATTTTTGTTATAAGGATGCTCTGGACAATCCACACTCAAGTCTTTTATTTTTTTTCTTTTCGATGGCGTTACCGGTTCTGCAATATGATGTTTGCTGGCTTGAAATGTATGAAACTAAAAAAAATATATATCAAAACATAATTTTATAACATTCAATATCAAAACCAAGAATTTTATCTATCCATCATTATTCTTGGAAAAATCGATTAGTCTACCTTAACAAAACACTTAGAGCAATACAGAGCTGAACATTGTATACATCGCGATGACGCAGTACCACCGCACTCGACGCAATTATCTAGAAAACCAAATCAATGAAAAAAAATCAAAAGTTACAGATGTAATAGACGAGAAAAAACATATACAAATATTCAAAGAGAAATATTTTTTGTTTACCTGACTGTATTTCACGTATTTGAGATCGTAAAGACTTTCGAAATGTAAAATCTTTCTCGTTGACGTTGTTCTTCACTGGCCGAGACATCTGAACGCACATCAATCCAACAATGTAAACATTGATAGGAAGTGGAAAAAAGTCATCACCTCTGGATAGTTTAGGCATATTTTTGCAGATTAAACATGGCTTCATAGCATAACCTTGGGCACAATGTTCACATATTGCATGACCACAATGTCGAATTAGCGGAAGCTGTGGTCCTTTTGTTACATTCTTTAAATCTGCAGCACATTAATGTGTAACAAAACAAAATTGAAAAAGAATTTCTAACGTTTCATTGTTGTAAACGTGTTATCTAGTAGACAACAAGATTACCCTTACGTAAAAAATTGACGTCATATTTTTATTATAATACTATTAGATATAACATTAAGAAAATATATCTAAACAGTATCTATGCAATGTTAAGAAATGTTTTTTATACTCGTTGAGGCAATTCTTTGAATCCGTAGCTTGTAGTTTATCGCTATTAGTTTTTAATACACAAAGAAACATACCTTTGATACAAAATCTCCCTTTACATTGCGTACAAAAAATATGTTTCATTCCATTTTTTGGATAACAAAAGAAATTATCGATATTTTTAAAGTAGTGTCGATTATCCATCATTCTCACGCTCATAATTATGCTTGAAACTTGATTAAATCGAGTCAAACTAAGAAAATGAAACACCACCACACTGGTGCAATTGAAAGGTGCCGGCAACAACAAACCCGGCCGTTCTGCGTGAGGAATTGATATGGAATGGATTTCTCGATCATTCCGTCTTCGTTCGCTCTCGACAAATCACATGCAAGAGCGTCCCCGATTGGGCTACGTAAGGGCCAACCAAAAATACGCGCTAATTATTTCAAATTTTGAATTATTTAATTTCCCTTTTTTAAAATTTTTTTTTCAAATCGAAGAATTTCAACTCTTTCATGAATTATATAATATGAAGACTTAAATATAGAATATTTTTGAAGTAAAAATTTTATTTAATTCCAATAAACATAGTAATTAATTAATTCTAGAATAAAAAAATTTGTCTACACGGGCTTGTGAAAATCTAATACAAAAGCGTGTTATTTTATTAATGAGAAATAGAATCCATTCAATTGAATCAAACGAAAAAATTCTAATTGTCTTAAATATTTGTTTGTCATAGTATAGCAGTTGACTTTCTTGCACCAAAACCGTCACCTTTTTCAATCCTCTAGTATATCGGTGACACTCGTTTCGTTGCTTTTGTTCTCCTCTCTTCATCACACTCGCCTTCTCTTATTCGCTTGAGTTCCCTGCGGCATCGATTTACCCATAAAAATTCTGCAAGCCCGACTCTATCACTCGGCTATTACTTCCTGCCCGGGCTTCATCCTCGCGCCAAGGATTTTCTGAGTGCAATCTCGTCGAATGACGGCAGACCGCGCGCGCATCTTCCTCATTCGACAAAATTATTCCCAACTACTTTCCGCTTGAAACCTCCCTGTATGACTTATTTGCTGGATTTCTCTATTTCATTCCCGCAAATTTATTATCTTTCAGCTCAGAAGAAACAAAAAACAGTAATCAAATTGGGAACAACGGTAAAATGAAAGGAATTTAATTTTTTTTTATTTTCCAAACAAACATTCCAAGGAAGAGGCAAGCTTGATTAATCATCAATTTCTCAAAATTTAGATCATCATTCATTATCTAACAGGAAATAATTTTTTTAATGAATGATTAAAAAATTTCTGAATATAAAACCAAATAAATTATATTCTAAATGCCCATTAAGAAGTTATTTTAATGGGGCCGATTGTTGGAATTCGTAATTTTATCATATCTTTACGTTTTAAAATATTTTAAAGTATATTAGAACGTTTAAAAGTGAATGTACATACGTACGTACAACTGTCCGACCCATTTTTAATATAAGTTTAATGAGTGCAATGAATATCGAATATAACATGAAAAATAAAATTAAATGAAATGCGTGAAGGTATATGAGTAGATGTAAAAAATGGCAAAAATGTAGTTTAAAGTGTCCAAGTACTGGCTGAGCTGTGAAATGTGTATGTAGGTAATACGCTTTTGATAGTCGTGTGTACACATACACGTCTTTATAGGCTACGAGACTTCTATTACTTGCATTAGCTCAGTTCTAAATTCAATTCAACTAATATGACCTAAATTATAGGGACCACATGACAAAGAATATTAAAGGCATCAATGAAAAACCTGCTAAAATAACTACACCAACGTATTTATCTATTTTTGATGAAAAAAAAAGATTTTCTTCTTCAATACAAAAAAGAGGGATTTTAAAGCCAAAACTACATATTTATAATAGTAAAAATGGATGTGGCAGAGTAAGTAAGTGATAATCTGATAAAAGAATATGATTTCCAAGGGAGATAAGATTGAAGATGACAGACAGCAAGGCGAGAGGTGGCAGCATCTGCTCAATAGGATCAATGAATTATTCTCGTTGAACATGACATGCTGCGAATAAAATGGCGTGTAGAGAGTGATGGTGCAAAAAGGGGGAGAGAAGCATAGCCTCCGATTGAAATTTTCATCGGCTTTGGTGTGTTGGCAACGATTATTTATTCACCAACTAACGAACGAACGGCTGACCGGCCAGCTCTTGTGCGAAAAATGAAAATACCTCTGGGAACTAAAATACAGATACAGTGACAGTGAATAAAAAAATCTTGGTCAGGTTGAACAAGAGAAATTTTAACGTATTACCCACTCTATGAATTAATTTCTCTTTAAATGACATATATCAACAACTACAGAGATTGTATTTTTTTATAGTAATAAATCAATAATTTTTAAATTTATATTTATATCAAACAGAAAAAATTATCAGGAGATTTTATATACTAGCTATATTATCGAATAATAATTAAAAGGTTTACATCGTTCCCCCAGACACCGACACATGCTAGATGTAGTAGTATATATCGTAATTATTTTCTGTCTCTTGCATTTCTGGTTGCAGGGCGATCGATCCAGGCTAAAAAAGCCCTAGAATATGGTTTATGTGCCACACATATTCTAATATCACATTATGATAGAGCCCAGGTCCATAATAATTATTCAAAATTTCTTATCAACCCATCACGATCGATTTACTTACAATAATTAATAATTATCGCATGTCTATCTACTTTATTTCAGTGATCAACAATTTTGCATAAATTTAGCACACAGCTATGTATGAGTTATTGTACCATCTAACAGTTAAAGTTACAGGATCACTAAAAAACAGTTAATTGCTGTAATTTTAATGATGTAATGAGTATACATATAGTGCACTTGATAGGAATTAATAATTAATAAATAAATAATGAAGTATTCCAGCCGCTACTGGTTAAAGGTTTATTTGGGCTTAAAGGGAGAACGATTTATCTTCAATGTAACCGGGTAATAACGACAATTTTGCCTCATCTATCACCACTTGTAGCTCCACCCCTGACTACCCTCTCACACTCTTCACTCCTTCCCCATCCTCCTCATCGTCATCCTCCACCCAGTTACTTCTATTCTCACTCTATCTTCCATTATTGCATCAAGTGCTCTCTTTTTCTCACTACACGTGTACCTATCTTGCTCACCAGTACCATTGCATGATACAACTGTACAACTTTATTTTTTCCTCGTTATCCTCAACTGGGAAAGTACCGCGATATATTTTCGAAACCATTTTCACGACCATTTCCACTTTAGCTCTTCTTGTATGGCCTACTGGGATTTGATTTTCCTTATTTTCGTGCTAGATAAAAATTAGACAACATGCTGGAGTTTATAATGGGCTTTATCAATGTCGAGTTGATCCACTTGTGCTAGATCTTATCTGTGATATGGTAATATTTTTTATCATTATTAAATCGAGTAGATTATTTTTATTTTATTGAACTTTTTGTCATTTTTATTGCTGATAATTTTACTGGGAATAGATTATTGTTATAGCTGTTGGACAGTTTTGATCTAACTGTTAATCTTGTTTTAGCGGAATGCAGTTTATCCATCTTGATGAGAGAAGATTGCAATTATAATTAGAAGATAATTTTCAAATAATGAAATGCATACCTGAATTCAATGCTATAATCAGCTAAAAGCAATACTAGAAATAGTGATGAGGGAAGTATCATTTTTTTTCGCATAAAGTGGTTTTACAAAAAAAAAATCAACAAAAGCATTTTTTAATGATTAAAAAAAAAAAGTAAATAAAACTATTGTTTATTAAAATAAAATAGACTCATCTGGAATAAAAATCATTGTGAAAAAAATTATATTTAAAATGAAAGTAAAGTTAGAATTTGCATAAAATTTTTCATTACTTTGCCTTAAGGCATTATTTCTAATTAACTAGAAATTATATATCAACTAATGTATCTCTGTTCTCATTTTTTATCTATCTTCGTCCTTGACAGATTTTTCAATAAATATATTTTTAGTGTAAGTGAACATTCTTATTTGTGCTTTTAATCAAAAATTGATTCAAAAACATATTTGTAATCCTGAAAAATAATCTTCACTGTTTTAATAAGTTTTTTTTGTTTTACAGAGCATGCATTTGACTCAACTCATTTCATTTGATTTTACAAAGTCGGTCCAGACTTTGAATTAATTTCTTTTATTCATCATTAAATTATTCAGAATTCGAGAGTTCCAGTATGTCACTTCAGACTTTAAGCTCCAAACTCTCGACACATCAGACGACCTACATATCTCTTAAACTAAACTCTGAAGAGACTATTCACGCAAGACATGACAGTTTCCTACCGCCCCAGACAGCGGTCGTTATATTCTAAATTATAGAAACTCGCCACGCAGACAAAGTTGATGTAGATTTTGACTATTACACCTTTTCAGGGTAATAAAGATACTTTCAAACGTAACTTTCAAGTGTAAACAAACATAGAAAAATATCAATTAAAGAACATTTAATAATACAATATAAATAAAATGAGGGAAAAAAGTTCATCAAATATTAAATTTCATTGCTTCTTACTTTTTAAGGACTTTCGGACATAATTGAATGCTACTCATCTTTAAAAAAAAATATTAATAAAGATTCTTTGTAAACTTTTTTTTCTTTTATTGTTTTAATGTTACTCACTACGCCAAGTACTGCAATTAAAAGTGCTTGGATGAACTACAAATAGATGAATCGTAAGTCTGTCTCGAGAGTTTTTTCCATCGTTTTTCCATTTCAGTTTAATAATTAAGTGCTTTTTATCTCTATCATTTAAGAAAAATTTTTTTTTTTTCAATACACTTACTTTTTTTAATTTTTTTTTATTTTCATGTACATACACACATAAATTAATATATATTTCTGTATTTTCTAGTTTTTTTTTCTTCTATTTCCTCCGGTTTCACTGTGACTGTTGTCAGGTGAAAGAAATGAAAATGGAAAAATGTGGAAGCCTCATTCGGACTTGTTCTTCTTCCGTTAGAAATGAATCCAAGCTACTTTCCTCTTTCAAGTATTCTAAGGATGTTAGGAGAGTTGAAGAGAGGTAGATTTGAAATGGGAAGGAAGCTGCTGTCGCGTTTATGCGATGCAGCACACAGGGCATAAAATAGACGAGATCGAACGTCGGTGGCTGTTAGGTTGTGATATCCAACCAAGATTTTGAAGGGTAGAAAAAGAACTAGAAAGCTGGATAAGAAATAAAAGAAGAAGATGGATACTGTTAAAGGTGAACGACGATGGATAATAAAACTTTAAAACTTGAAAAACAATAAATGATAATTTTTTATTCCATCTATAGTAAATTTTATCTTTAAGCTGGAACTGAAAAATTTTCTGAAGCTGAAAAGAAAAACTCAAAATTGAATTTTTCCGTCAAGTAATAATTCTTCAAAGCTTTTAAAATCTATTGTTTTTCATAAAATCAGTTTACATTCACTATAGAAAAATAGTGATTTTTTTTTTTTACAAAAGAAAGGAAACTAAAATACTCACTCAATTTTTTCATCTTTTAGCTGTTGAAATAAAAAAAATTTAACGAAAAAAAAAAAAATAATGAATAAATGTATGAGCATTAAAAAAAGGTTTCTTGTGGTAAAAGCTAAGCGTTAAAATGAGTGCGAAGCGACGCTCAATGGACTTTCGGTTCATGCAGCAATAAAAAATATGTAAATGTATATACAGACGAAGTGATAAAGTGTGATATACTGTATGCATGAAAATAATTGTATACGTATTTCAGTATTTTTTAGAATATAAATAATTATAATCAAATAAAATAAAGAGAGCATGAAAACAAAATTATGTTGGTGAGACAAATTGAATATCTGTTTCAACAACAGATCATAATCATAATGTGTTAAGTTCTTTAAGTTATAATTGTTCTCACACTCTGAAAATATTGTTATCAACATATCAAGGATCTTTTCATAATGATGATCAATTTTTTCAGAAATATATATCATATACATTAGTGTATTAATGATATAAATATAACAAATTTTTATTTTATTGTATCTACTGGGTTTTCAGCACACGTAATAGAAATCGAAATGGTTACAAGAGTAGATTTCCGATCTGTTACGACAGTTGAATGTTCTTTCCATGTATGGTCCATGTATATGGAACTTTATTGAATAAACATATAACAGATAATGTAATAAATGAGAATATTGAGTTTGGTATATACATACACTTCTGAAACAATGAGATATAATCAATTTAATCGATACAATAGAAACTTTGAGTAAAATTTTTAATTGACAATACAATATTCATAAAAATTGTATTACGTTTATTTATTAAAAATATACTTTTTTTTAATAATTTTTACTTTTATTTATTTCTAAACTTTTGAAAATATCTAACAATAATTAACAATATGTTTATAGTTATTAGTATATTTTTTTGATGATCAATATACACTATTTGTGGCAATTGGATATGTTTTTCCATGAATAAATAACATTAAATGAATTATAAAATTAATTATCAAATGAATAGATTGGAAATAATCAGTGCATTAGTGTCGACCTGGATAAATCGAACAGCCTGGGGTTTTTAATAGATATTACATCGTGGGGGATGCACATATGGATATCATTCTATATGTCATGAATACTAAACATAGTATGCTACTTTATAGAATACTAAAGATTAATTTTTCAGTAGAAAATAGTTTTAATTTTTTTTTTTACTTTTATTTCAATCACTTTATTTAATATTCAAATAATTCCTTTTTATCCTATATTCAATTATTTTAAAGCAAAATTCGTATAGGTTGTAATCATGGGCAACGGCAGTAACTGACATGAAAATGACATCAATGTAATCTAAATTTATTCATGCATTTTATAGAATGAAGAGATCAATATATGTAAAATGAAGAGTCAAAAATTAATGAATTAGTTTGTGGTCACTTTTTAATTATTTTCCATTTTTTATACATGAGTTAATTTTTTAACTTTTACTGAACATATTAAAAATCAATTAAAATACACAGTTATTTTGGTGGATTTATTTTTTTTTCAGCCCTTTGAGAAGTCTCTATTTTAAAATCATTAATCTCAGCATGAAATTGATTCTATTTTCATAGATTTGTTAGTAGGGTCTAAAAATGAAATACCGATAGAGAACTATTTTTTAACATATTGACACCAAAAACTCTTAACTCTATTATTAGATGATTCCCTTTTTCCTGTATTTACAATTATTTTTATTTAACCTACAATGCTTACAATATTTATTAAGCTGATTTTTTCAATACTAAAGTTACATTCTTTCATGTCTCCTCAGATAATTCAATGGATGCTTTTGACTGAAGCTTGATTGACAATCGATTAAAAATTAATCAGAACTAAATTTTGGAGATTTTAAATAATAGATCTAATGATAAAATTTTTATGCACACAATATTGTACATGTATTTGTAGATAAAGTAAAAAAGACGTAGTTCGTGTTAGCTTTTACTAGACTTTCCAGAAAAAAGATAACTTGGCTACTTTGGCAAAGCCTTGTTGCAAAATACATTCTGCATAAGTTTGTTTGCACCTTTATACTTGGTCTAAAAATAACCATTTTTCACTTTTGCTTTTTATATTTTATATTACTATCATTTTTCTTCAGAACATCTTTGATTTTTCAAAAAAATATTGCAAAAGAAGGAAACAGAATTATTTGATAAAAAAATTCCCAGAGAAATAAAAACTCTATAATCATAATTTAAAACTTTATTTCAAGTTATAACGAATGTTTAAGAAATATTCTTTTTTTTTATAACTCTTCTAATAATAGTAATATATAATAAAATTTGATATATAATGATAGAGAGTTGGTATTATACAGTCAATAATAGAGTATTGTCTAACTTTTAAGAAGATTTTCTTTGAGTTGAGTGGAAAATAAAGTTGCATTAAAAACCACAGTTTGAAAGTAACTCATCTTTAGTTCTGAGTATATCAAAGTATTGTGAAAATAAACTAGTAAAATAAGAATCCAATTGTGTAAATATTATCCGATTTCTCAACGTATATTGTGCTAATTCAACATTTACTTTATATATCAAGAACTTGAATTGTATACGTGTTTGTAAATTCTCTCTATTCTCTTGAAATCACATGGAATTGAGCCGCGAAACTTGGATCACGATGAGCAGCTTCTCCGCGTGGATACCAAATGCGATACCGTGGTTGTACATTGGTACCATGGAGGATGGAGATAAGCTGTCGAATTCCGAGAATGTGTGCGTACTATTGCGAATTGTTGTAGTATCCAACGAGATCCAAAATCAGACAGAGAAGATGAGAGGTAGACAGTGAGAAGATTTTAGTCCTTCGGTATAGCTCAATGTGCCGATGGAATAGTTGGATACAATTCCAATATGTGACAGAATAGAAACAGTGGAGAAATGCATGCTTGCCATGACAAACAAGAGGTATAGTAAACCTATTTCTCCTGAATTTGAAACCTTTTAAGATTTTGTTACTGAGAGAAGAATATGTCCTTTTACAAATCACGGTTTGATCTTAGGCCAACTGTTCATATTTATATGTTTCTTTTATTTAAAAAACAATCTTTTCTACTTCAGTAAACGGTGATCCGTGCTATTTTGTACAACTTTGCAAATGTATTCAAGATATTTTCAAGATTTAAACAACAAGAGGGTTCTTCAGTCAGATTTATACACGCATCAAAATATTTCTTCAAGTATTTGTGTGGAAAAAAAAACAATTTATGCACCATTGAAATATATTTCTAATTTAACACTTCAATCATTGTCAATAATTGCACTTTTTTCTATAATAAAATTAGAATATTGTTTATTAATAATATTGATTGATAAATTTTTTTTATTTTTAAGAGCAAAAAGAAATGTGACGATTGGAATATTAGAATAAAGCAAAAAGTGCCAACAAGAAAAATATAGTAAACAGAGAACAATGACCTTATCATCCAAGGTATCTAATAAATAAAATCATCCGAACTCACTAGTCTCATTCGATCCTGATACTAAAGCATATTTACATGTATGCATGTATGCGACATAATATTTATAGACGCATATGATGGTGTTATGGAGGTAGTTGGAGGCTCATCGAGATGGTATTATCAAGACTGCATGCGTATAATAATTGTAGAAACCTGGTAAGTACACCCTCTCTGGATAATCGGTAGTTGGATTCAACGTGCCACGCGCGCGATTTCTCGGGGTGGTATCAGGGGGAACCCGGGGGGTTGGCGAACAAGTGAACTCGCCCCGTTGCACACGTAAGGACGAATCACCAGGTCCTAGTGCTATGCACCAGGATCGACGCAACAACGCGAGATATAAACAACACCGCCCCCGGGAAAGAGTCAACGCGTGGTGGGATCGACGCGGGAACCACAAAAAGGGTGTTGAGCGCACTCTGTGCAATCTAGATAAGAGAGGGTAGTGCAGGAGGGCGCAATTGTCCGACCGGAGTGAACAAGAGGGAGAGAACGTCGCTTAAGGGGTTGTTGCGACGGTGGAGGTGGTCAACATAAAATCTCGTGCACATGCCTGGTGCATTCATTGAGGAGAATGTGCCCGTGCGGTATACATCATTCTGTACTTGCGATATTTCTACCCTCCGTTACCTTATACTCTCGGTCTCACAGAATAAATCACTGTTACCAGTTCCATCGTTTTTTTTTTCATCGCGCGCGGAAATACTTGTCTTCTCAAACTGATCTGAAGACATATCGAGTGCAGTGATTGCATCTGTTACGTATTCTTAGACTTTTTGAAAGTTTTCAAGTATTTTAGTGATTATTTGTGGACTTATGATCACGGACAATCTCAATAATCAAATGAAAATAGTTGAGAAAATTTTCATTTAATTAAAGATCAGCAGAACAAACAGAAAGAATCAATCATCTTTGAAGATATCATCAGACCTTTCATCTCTGAAGAATACACCGTTTGAAGAAGACTGGTGGTCGAATTAGAGGTGGCCCAATCTTGGGGCCCTGAAGATTTTCATGTTTACGAACTTTAATAAATCAGGTAACAACGCAGATATCACATTTGTGCTTTTCTGCGTTTATTTTGTTTAGATTTTATTTTATTAAACCTTCATATCCGTCTGAATATATGCATTAAGAATCATATTTATTTCATAATTCTGTATCCAACACGCGAGAAATAATATTACTTTACATATTTATATTCAGCACGGATATTAACATTTTTCAATATGACATTTTTTCCATAAAAATTATATTATTATTTACAAAAAAAAAAAAAAAAAGGAAAATAACATACTAAACCAGATTCAATTATTTTTATTTCACCACATGAAGAAAAATAAATTCACTTTTAGCAGCTTTTTATGGAAAAAAAATAAATTCTACTAAATCCAACTCAACACCTGAAGATCCATCATGAAGATATGAAATCAATAAAAGAGCATAAATAATTAAAAATTTTATTTAAAAACACTGTCTATGAACCAGGAGTAATTGTGTATCGATCTCTCGACGCGCAGCTTTCCCATTGCACTTGTTGTACTCGTGGTCAAGGTCATATTCCCGTAAAGAGATCGACGTTCGCGGATGATAATTACATATGCACTTATCTAATAGTCAAGCTAATTTTTTATGCGCTCCATTTCTACCTCTTTATGAAAAAAAATCTTTTGTTCCATAACATCCATTTGTTTTTTTTTTTGTCAAGCTCTAACATGTGCTTTCGATTTGAATTATTCGACTGTTTCTGATGTAAAGAGAGGTAGGTATTTTGTCAGCGCTAATTAGATATATTTGTCTGTAAAATATCCACATGATATTCAGAAAGAAAAGGTATCATCATCATTTTAAATCATGTTCTGGGATGATATATTCATTTTATTTACTGTTCATATTTTTTTAATGCTAATTCGTCATTACATTACATCGTCCAACAGAAATAGAGTCTCATAATATTAAAGAAGAAAGAAATAAAACGAAAAGAATAAACGATATTTGCAATTTAATGAAAAAATGAAATTACAAGTCTATCGAGAGAGTTTCTTTTTTTTTTTTAAACGTTTTCATTAATACGTCTGTTTTTATTACAATATTCAATTAACGTTAAATCTCAATTGAAATCTCCAACAAAAAAAGTTAACTGTTTTTCAAATACTCATTTTAGTAATCGATTAAATTTAGGGTAAATATCGAGATTGGCTGGAACATGTTATTTTATCGTTTCTCACATTGAAAATACGAACTAACAAAAAAAAAACAATCAAAGTAGCAAAATAACGATATCATGGTCGATTGAATACTAAACGACATCCTTTGACCAAGGAAATGAGTTTTTTTGTTTTCTTTCGATTTGTCACACCTAGTGTTGGGATATTTTTTTTTATATTTAACAAACGAAATACAAAGTAGTAACGAAATTATCATGGATAAATTGATAATTGATATAAATCGAATTTATCCGGTCAAAATGCTATTTTTGTTGATTAAAAGCTCTCGAGATATTCCATCAGAATCGATAAAGACTAAAATTAATTTTGTCGAGAATAAACTGATGATGTTCGCTAATTATCGTTTGTTAATGCTAACTGAAGCAGAGAGATTCAGTAGGTCTGTATGGATTGGCACTAACTATATTTGTTTAATCCTCATAGAGCCACTTCTGTCTAATGGTATTAAACACTCGCGAGTATTATAATAGGTTGGAAAATTTCATCGAATCATGCTTTAATTGCAAACGATCATACCTATTATATACATACGTTTACATTCCTACTTTATTATTTATCGAATATTCATATACAATCATCGGTAATGTATTTCAGTTATACAAGAATACTTATGAAGTATATAGTTTATTTTATATTCATATAAATCCACAATTATATGAAACGAAACAATCGTACATAATAGAATGCATCATGAATGCATTTATCAGTTACCGCATTTCTCACATTGCACCTCGTTTTGACCGTTAAATAGTTTATGGATTATATGATTTAATAATCACTCACGCATACCTATCGATGCTTATTATGATAAATATTTTATGCTTTTGTTTACTCGTCATGGATATTTACGATTAAATGTAAGACGAAATGATGTTTATTCACTGATTTATCTTGCTAATGTTGATGCTAAATTCAATGGAACGTACATCAGCCAAGGAGTAATAACATTGAACTAACTTAATTCATTTATCCTGCCGTCGGGATTACGATGTTAACCCGCAATCACTTGCGCGATAGGCTTTAATATCACTTTAGTCACTTTAAATTAATTACTTAACTAACGTGAAAATTTTTACTTGTTTTAGTAATTAATTTTTGTTAATGATTTTCAGTCCCATTATTCATCCCATCAATTTTGTCATCATAATCATTTAACATATATTTCATTAAGCCATTATCATTATAATCAATTTACAGCATTTTCATAATGTTATAAAAATAATCGTTAATTATTCGAAATTGCAAAATATAGTTGGAGGGGAAAAAAATGTTGAAATTTTTTTTTTCAAAGTCTTTATTGTACAAATTTTTCTTTCAATTTTCTGATAGCTATCTTTTGCTTTAAATGCACACATTTCTAGTTCGAAGAATAATAATAATAATCATCATCATTTACTGTCGGAAATTCCACCTTCCGCTTCTCCAACCACGAATTATTTACCGTTGATTACCTTCTAAATAAACACTAGAAGATCAATGAAAAACAAATTATTTTATGAAAATTTAACTTCAAAGTTTTTTGTATAAAAAATTAAATTTTTTTTCTTTTTGATCAAAAAATTAATTAGAAACTATTTTTTTTTTTCATTTTCGTGTAATAACAATTTTTTAGGCGGCAGTCTGACGAATTTGATTTATAAACTGATATCGAAGAAAATTATTTATGCACAAAAGTGAGAAAATAACTTTATAAACATACTTCAAACAATAGAATAATAATGATAAATAATAGTGTGAAAAGATGTATACAACAGTAACAATGAATAAGTTGAAAAGACTTGATAGTAGTATCATTTTTCGAGATAAAACACGTGTACGAAGTTTATCGTCGGTATTTTTACCACCTTGAAGATCAAAATGCAAGAAATAATCAGATAGTTGTATCATCCACTTGAAGATGAGTAATTTGGTATGTAATATTTATGAATTTATTGATCCGTCGTTTGATATTTTAATAAATATAATTCGAAGAATGAGCGGGAGATTAAATGACGCGGAAAACTAGAATTTGAATTGGCCCGCGTTTACTAAGTTTAGCGCGGCATCCAGTAGGCTGCGAAGTGTGTCAGAAGCGAATCAGTGAGTGACTGAGGCCGCTCGGCAGATGCACGAAGGTCATAAGTATTTTAAAAATAAGGCCGTAGGTATTGGCAGATTGGTATGGTATGGCAGTGCATGGTAGTGGACATTAAGGGTCGGGTGGCGTTGTAATGGCAAAGAGTTTGTTTAAGGTGAGTAGTTAATGGCGGTTATGAGGAGCGGCGAAAAACTTGTACAAGTGTATTAAATGATAAAAATACTGGTAATTTAGAGTTTAGTGTTAAAAGTAGAGTCATAATTAAAGTAAATAATGTGAAATTTAGTAATAGAGAGTAGTAAAGGCGTGTAGTACCAACGCATAGATGTTGGCGTGGCGTTAAGTTGTGTTTAGTCGCGTCAGTCAACAATAAATCGAGTAATTTTTACTAGCAAGAGGAATAGCCTCGTGCTCACTCGTGCTAGTATAAGTATAGTTGTAGTATAGAGTCTCTTGAATACGGTGATCCGACAATGGCGCCCAAGCATCGCGAATATTGACATTGTCGAAAACATTATCTCGAATTTAGTGTTATTTACACATATGTGGGCGGCACAGTCACGTATTGCGTCGCAATTTTATTTCTAACCTCGTACAGTGAATGCGCGTGCACTTTGTTCTACATTTAAATAACGTGTGTATAATATTTTTCAACGGAGGTTATGCGAATTAATGTTTTTGAAACGTATAGTAGCAACTCGTGAACCCTGAAGGGTTTTACAGTTATACTGCAATGTGGCACATTTGCAGAAGCGTAGAGAACGTTGTGTAGGCCTAGAGCCGAGATAGTCCTACTAAATATTACAGCTGGCACGTAGTTGTGCGTGTGTTTTATAAATAATTATTTTTGTAAACGTGCGAATCAGGGTCTAAGGGTTGTTACACGTTATATTACGCTTGCCTCTAAGGGATTCAGGGTGGCGCGAACACTGCTAACTGAATCACATAAACACCAAAGTGTTTACTTAATTTATTTAACTTGTACAAAAGACTCTAGATAGTTTGGTTATAGGGTCGGGATTGGAGATAAACAAGATGGACCAACAGTATTGCCTTCGGTGGAACAATCATCCAGCGAATTTAACGGACGTGTTGAGCTCATTACTTGCAAGAGAAGCTCTGTGTGACGTTACTCTCGCCTGCGTTGGAGAGACATTCAAGGCTCACCAAACGATATTGTCGGCTTGCAGTCCTTATTTTGAAAATATATTTCTTCAAAACACTCATCCACACCCAATTATTTTCCTCAAGGATGTCAATGACACCGAGATGAAGGCATTGCTCCACTTTATGTATAAAGGAGAGGTTAATGTTAGTCAACATCTATTACCTATGTTTCTCAAGACCGCTGAGGCATTACAAATCAGAGGTCTCACTGACAATAGTGTAAATAACAAAACTGAAGAAAAAAGTCCGTCTCCTGAGCCAGAGACACACGGAACCAACAGGCGTTCTGATTCTCCTAACCTCCAAGGTTCAGAAAAAAAAAAACGAAAATTGTCTGGCAGTTATGATGTTTTACTTACGGGTCCACCAAGCGAACGTTTCTTGTCCGATTCTCAGGTAAATCAAATTTATTTTTTTTTTAATCTCATAAATTATTTTTTATTTTTTGTACAATATATACTGACAATTTTATTTCAGTTAACTGTATTTTTTTCAACATCACACACACATGCTATCTAAATATCTGATGTAATTTTTTGGTCAAAAATAATCACATCAACAAGATATTTTACTAAATAATTGAATTTCATTATGAATTTGATTTTTATGATAAAATTCCTCTTTTATTATTATTGCTATTTATTGTTGATGAAATTTTCACTTCATTAGCTTCTAAATTTCACAATACAATTATTATTATACATACATTTAAATTCTTCATAATCAATATGATAATTTAAATACAAATATAATTAAATTATAAAATAATTACTAGAAAGAATTTATATCTATCAATAGATTACAAGCCTATCAATTCAGCCATGAAAGAATTTCTCACTCAACAATTGCTTTTCAGAGTAATTTTAATTTTCACAAAAGTATTTCCTATTCTTTCTATTATTTTTACTCTGCCAATCATCCTTTTCAACTCTTGAAACTTTCTCCAGGTCCTAGTATACATTTTATTTGACCTAGATTTGAACTAGGATACCTTGTTCGTTGAGCCACATGGTTTTTGAACGCGGGTCCCTTTCTCCACTAAAGATATTTAGCACAGGAGCGAAATTACAGTGTCGTCTCTCTTTAAGAATGAATGGCGCACTTGTAAGCAGGATAATTATTTATATTCAGACTGAAGTTGTAATAGTGGATGTCCTTGAAAACATCTTTTTAAGATACAATGTTATATACATCAGATATCAACACACATAAATGGCTGTCAGAAGTCATGTATTGTCTTAAAACTTTTCCGCTATCACACGAATACTCATAAACCTTTTAATGTATTTAACTATTATTACATTCTGTTCAGTCATACAATCATCTCTGTATTATAACTAAAATTCTTGAAACTAAATGGTAAAAAAAGATTGTGCTAGATAAATCTTTAGCTTATATAAATGTTAAAATTGTCCAAATTATTCGTAAATTATCAGTGCCATTTTTTTGTACTTTGCTGCAGACTTTTATGTATGATTGATTACTCAGCTTTTCAAATAATCATTCATACGACCTTGGAAATGAAACCAATAAGCATTTTTTATCGTACTTAATAAAACAGCTGTTCTATCTTTTAACATCAAACGTAAATGAATAACAAATTTTTCAAAATATATTTGTTCTTACAATAATCAAGCATCTGAAGATATACATTTATACCTTTAACATTATTTTAATTTGATAAAAAATTATTTTATCAAATATTTCGTATATAAATGATAATATTAATCTTATTTTATTTTCAGGCCTCATCTCAATGTAGTTACAAATCAAGTCCTACAGTGATTCCAAAGTTAAATAATACACTAGGTGGCGATTTAGAAGATGGAGGTCGAACAATATCTCCATCATCTCAAACACCAACGGCTATCAAACAGGAAGTTGACCACCACATGCCTGACTTCCATGACAATATTTCTCTACCTGTAAGTACACATTTATCGTTATAATCTTGTTGCATGAATATGTTATGGACTATCGCTCATATTATCATTATTTTATGTATTCATTAGTGCATCACATTTATTTTTAATCATCAATATAATTTATCTATATTTTCCTAGTGTTGTGAATCTTCTTTCTTATCTCTTACTTTTTTTCTCATTTTTTCATTTCCATGATTACATTAAATAATTTTACCTATCATTCAACTACAGGTAGCCTTTTAAACGCATTGTAATTAACAATTAAAAGTAGCATTTTTATTTTCTTTTATTAACTTTTGTGTTTAAGAAAGTTGTAATTTACACATTGAATGATGTTTATAATTATTTTGTGATGATAAACATTTTTTAATTGTAATCTCAGCATATGCCATCGAATTCATCCGATTTTAAATGTATACAAATGAATATTTTTTAATACTGAAGCGTTCAACTCAATCATCGACGCATGACGTGATTGTATAAGCATTCGAAAAGGTTGCGCTACTATATGCCCGACCCGCGACCAGTTTTTTTTAACATTTGCAAATAGGTAGGCGCGCGAAACTTTTTCACGCACAAATATGTGTACAAAAATATATAGAAATACATGTATATGTTTTGCCAGTTTTTTTTCTTCTTATAGTTTAGCCCTGAATATAATCATAAATCCGTTATTTATATATAATTCGTAGTTTCACATCCTACATATTTTAACAACATCACGGATTCTCTTTAGGGCGTATCCAAGAACGCACGTCGAAAATGGGAAGGAAGGGATTTGAAATTTAAAAATGAATTATCACAAAAAATAGACCTAAACAAAATAATTTTAAAATCAAATGAAAGGAATAATTAATGAATGAATAAAAAAAAAAAAATGCGTAAAAGAACAGAAAATAGCAGAATCGAAGAGTCAAATGTGTTGAATTAAACACACATCCTTTCCTTCTCTGTTGACAGACTAGTGTGGAGTGGGAGGTTCAAAGAGATGAGAAGAGTGATGAAACTATGGATATTCAGAGAGTCGCGGCACAGCCCGATCGTCCAGCAAGCGCGACAATTTTGCAAATGTCTCGCGAGAGCGCCATCATGGCAGGAGGGGCTATGTGTATTGATATGTCGACAATTCCAGATTACTACGAGAATCAGCTTAACCCAATAAAAAATCATTATGCCTCTCAAAAAATCATAAATAGTTATATCAATTCTTCTTATGGCTCTAGCCAGCCAGTGAATACAGTCAATAGGACTGGTAATACCAAAAATTTCAAGATTTCGCAAAACGAAAGTAGTCACGTGGTAAAACCGATAAGCGTTAATGCTCTCCGGCAAGGTATTTCGGTTATACAATCAGCGTTGTCTAGTGCTCTTCAACGACCGGTAGTTCAGGGCAAAAAAACAGGAAAGTTCAAACCCTCTTGGCTTGACATCTATCCCTGGCTTCAATATGATCAACATAATAATCTTATGTTTTGTAAATACTGTAGAAAGTGGAGCGATTCTATTCCAGAAATACGAACATCTTTCGCTGCCGGCAATAGCAATTTTAGGCTTGAAATAGTTAATCATCATGATAAATGTAAGGCACATAATTTGTGTGTATTGAAAGAAAGCGAAGTGAAGGCTGGTTATTCCTTTGGTACAAATCAATGCTAGCAAGAAGCTATTATAGACCAACGCTTTGCTTTTGATGCTTTGGTAATGTTCAAGATCACTTTCTGGTCTCGACCATCATACTTTTTTAGTACTTTATGTACTCAGGTTACCTTACTTAATGCTATTGCATTTAAGATGCATTCAGTTATTACAAGTGTGAAATGAATAAGTGTCAAGAGTAAATGTATTTAGTGTTTTAATTTATAATTTTTTTTTCTTGTATGCTCAATGATTGTGATAAGTCTATTGGCTTGAATAACATTGAATGCAATAATTTTTTTTATCACTTCAAATTCTATCATTAATATGCATTTAAAATATTTTATATTTGTTATTTGAATTTAAAGTTAATGCAAAAAATAACTTTTATATTTTTATTTGAAATTATGTAGAGTACTCAGGGTTATTAATTATTATTTTTTATTGAATAGATGAACAAAATGATGGAAATAAATAAAAAATTTACCTTTCGTTTTATATTTATACATAAATAATCGGAATTTTTATTCTTGTTTTATTTAGTTTTTTCAAATGTAAATCTAAAGAAGATGAAAATATTTATTTTCATTTTATACAACAGAAAAATTTTATAATATATTTTGTATATTTATTCAATTATAAATACTAAAAAATCTGTATAGAAAAATTGTTTCTTAAATAGGCAATTTTACATTTGTTAATTGTTGAAAATTCTTGATAAATAAATGTCATAAAAATTTGAAGTGTGTAGTTCATATGCATAATTATTCTTCTTGATGGCATGTTAATTAATGAAAAAATATTCATCACTATGCGTATATTACGGAGTTCAATTAGATGAATATTGCATATAATATTGACATATTTCTGATTGTGTTTAGGGCCATCCGGTTGGAATGTTAGGAGAAGACGGAGGACCAACGGCGGGGGCGTTAAGTGATGGTGTACCAGGAATGGAAACGTCTGAACACCACAATCCACCGGAAATTCTCGACGGGCTGGATGGTAAGACTTTATTAACATATTTTCTTAAATTAAAAATATTTTATACTCAAGTGTACATATTGCTTATGGGTCATAATTACGTTCCATTCAATTCCACAATGATGAATAATTTTATTGATGAACGATTGTCTTTTGAAGAAAAATAATCCTTTAACAATATTGTAAAATAAATTTTAAAAAAAAGTGCACTTGAGTTGATGAAATGGAGGGACATATGCATGCACGTTTGGAATGACTTCTCGAATAGGGCATCGTAGTTACAAAAAAGGTTCCTCTGTTTCCCTTGTAAACATAAAATAGTCTTGTGTAAATTTTTTATAAATCATTCAATGACTTTCCTCACATTATATATATTTATTACTATATATATATAAATCTAGAAGATACCAATTATTGAACAGTCCCTTAAAATGAAATTATAAGAAATTGGAATTCACTACATAGGCCCTTTATGTTGTGGTGATGGTATCGTGCATTTGCCATGTTATCATAGTAGTAACAAAATAAAGTGTGTCTCTCTCCCTGTCTCATGAATTTAATTTTAATTATTTTTATTTTTCTTTTTTTTGTTAATTTCTTTATTTTTTTAAATTTTATTATTAATTTAAAGATTGACAATGATAGATATATATTTGCGTAAATCGATTTTAACAAATATTTATGCTGGGTATCAAGAATTGAAGTTCAGGTGTAAGAAAATGAACAAAACTCAATTGTAATTGAAATTGGTGCGTGTGGTGGTTGTATGTGATTGATTGTTGAGTGATTGGGATTTTTTTTGCATTTAATTTAGTAGTATCATTTGTTAGTCATCAGTTACACATTATTTTCTCTCTAATTTATAAGAATAATTTTTTTTTTATTGGGTTAAGGGGCTCTTGTGTGTAAATAATATTCTTCACTCTATCATGCTTTTTTTTATTTTTATAATTAGGTTTGTGCTTTTTTGCATGTTTTTTTTAGACTACCTGAACATATCAAAGTACAATTAAACATAACACAGTACTTTCCAACTTCATTTATCAATTTTTTTTTACTCACACTATTCGTTTTAGTTAGGTTTCAATTTGGTTTCCATGATTCTTCTTTTCCACTGAACAATTAGAATCTAAGATTCAAATGTATTCAGTTATCACTATTTTCTTCAAGCATATTTTTTCAATTTCCTTTTAATTTAAAGAAATGACTTAATTGTATTAAGATCATCGATTAGAATTCTTATTTAAATTAAAATTTTATAAAGAAAAAGACTTTGTTAATCATAAAATAATCTTTTGTTTTCATTATTCAAATCGTTTGTTCTTCATTTTTTCTTTCAATTCTTCTTATATTGATAACTGTTGAAACTTGGTTCATTTAAATTGTTTGATCATTTGTCTCTTTATGAATAAAGTTTTTTGCTGTATTGGATTATTTAATGTTTATTTATCTTCATCAAGCTGATTTTGGTATTTTATTTTTAATTTGAACGTACAATGTAGATGTGTGACGTAGACATATTTTTTACGAGTGTGGTAAAGATAAAAAATTAAAGCACTTTGTAAATGAACGATCGATATGTGCATATAGATTTTGATTCAACGTTTGAATAAGCAAGAAAAATTTCCAAAAAATAGACGAATTATTGTAAAAGCATTTCTCTATAAGTTGTTCATATTTTTTTTGAAAGTGTGCAATTAAAAATTAAAATACTTTGATATAAATAAATATGTTTTTCTCTACCGCTATTTTTGAAACCAGTAGAAGAATGAAATGGTAGATACTATTCAAAGTGTGCAAAATTTTAAATACGAGTATGACAAAAAATTACATATAAATATCAATTGAAATGGAATCTTGCATTCCAGGAACAACAGGAATAAACAAAAAAGACAAGGACTTTAAGTTTGAACTTCACAGTAAATTAGAGACGCAGCTTGGTACGGAAAGTTGTAGGCTATGTGGTAAGAGCGTTGCCAATATTAAGAAACACATGAAATCTCATTTTCCTGATAAGTATCAGTGTCAGATTTGCATGATATCATTGACGAGATCCGATAATTTAAAAAGGCATATCAAACTCAAACACGGCATCCGAGAGGGATCAATGATATCGCCTTTTATGCGCATGGAGGCTAAACACTTCCTTGCTAAATCGGACGAATCATATCTCACCTAGCTCAATTGAAAAGTTATCATCATGTGGCAAGCGGTGATAAAAGAATAAAAAACAACAAATAATTATTAATAAAATTCATCTAAAAATAATAAACCACTGCTAATTTTAGCTGTCTCATATAAAGATTCGTTAAATGCAGTGTAAGCTAAAGTAATTGTCGACTGACGTGACAATTAATTAATTGGAACTTCAAATTTGTCCGTTTTTATAATCCAATGGCACTTTTATTATAGTTGGAGACAAATAGAACAATCACGACAAGACTACCTCCTAAAAAAATTATTTATTAAAAAAGTAATACTTATTAAACTCAAGTACAATCAGTGCCATGTAAACTACTTAATAGATAAGTGTTTGATTTTATATAATAACTTATTTATTGAAACAAACAAAAAAAAAACACAAAAAAAGTACAAAAGATATAAAAAGAAAAAGAGAAAAAAATCCTTTTAAATTATAAATGTACCTTAATTAGATTATACGTATTTATTAATATTTATAAATATTTAAGATTTAAGGATAGATTTTTAAACGTTTCATGTATTAATTATATGTCGTAAATTATATATTTATATTTGATGATTGTGTTGAAAAGATATTGCTCAAAAAAAAACGTAAGAAACACGAATGTCTGTCACAACAATTAGGAAAAAAATTCCTAATATAATTCGCAACGTGAAAATGTCCCCTTTTTTCTCCACAGCGTTCTAAAGCTGTTGGAAGTATATAAGAAAATACGATAGAATGAAATGTGAAAGCTCGCTTCAGAAACTAGAAACTCATTGGGTGTCACGTAAAATACATGAATGAAATGCTCAAACATTTGGATTCTAACAGATACAAATTTTTTCTTTAAAGCAATTAATTTTTCCCATTTTGTTTTGATTAAGTTAGTATTATTGTTTTTCCAAGTTGACTTCTTCTTTTTCTACTTCAGAGTTTTTATAATTTTTTTTTCTATTACTTACTTTGACTTGACTTTGTAGGTTTCATTTCCTTTTATATTTTATTCTTTACGAACTAGTGAACTGGCTTTTGCCAAGTCTCCATTTTTCATTTCTTACTTATCATTTCTTTAGTTGCAAATCAAAAGTGTTCGTTTGCAGTTTTTATCATTCCTGACAGTAATATCTTTTTCAAGGCGGTAGTGTCATCTTCAGACAACTCCACTAATTGATAAAATACTTTTTAATAGATTAAGTTGCATATATCAAATGAATTCATTAAATTGAAATTATTTCACAAGTGTAAATAAAAATCTTCTCACAGTGATTTTTTTTCTCCAAAGATTCATATATAAAACTGCCAGGAAATTGAATATAAAATTTTACTTTTAGTTTTTTTTATTATCAAAGGCTATTCTGTGAGTACTTTGGTGAGAGCTAGAATCGCCATCGCCGTGACCGTGCATTTTTATCGTGAGTTTCTCCATTCACTCCATGAGCATCTTTGTAGTAGATTTATTTTACTCAATATGAGAGATCGTTCGCGGTAGAGAAAGCGACAAAATACAAAATACATAATATATATTTTTTTAACACAGTATTACACTAATATAATTATTTATTCTACTTACTAGTAGTTAATAACCGTAGTACTACTAATTATAATGATAATAATAATACCTAATGTATCGCGATTTAAGGCGTAGGTTGTGAATCACCAATTTTATCCAATTAAACGTTAAGCAAGGGAATGAAAAAAAAATTTTTAAACTAATAATTATAATTAAAAAAAAAAATACTAAAAATGAAATAAAAATGAACTATATAGAAAGACTGAGTAAGGATTTCCGAGTCTAAACGGCTCGAAATAGTCATTAAAAACTAGTCTCCAAAGGCCACAGGCTTTAACGTAAATCCAGGTTCTTTGAGGTTTCAATTCCCTCTTGTTGGTGCCTTTTAAAAGTCAATATCAATTTTTAGTGTTCAACAAAAATTGTAAAGTATTTTTGAGATTCTAATGACGATTTTAAATAAATTAAATATACAAATGAAAAATGATAAAAATAATATCGTCGTTGCACATGACAAAGTTTCACAGATTAATTACATAGATATGAGAGAACATGAAATTTAGCTATCCTTTCTGACATTTTATTTTATATTGTGTTATATAAATACATATTGCTCTTAATTGATGTAACTTTATCATTTCTGTCACTATATCACGTCACTTTTTCATCCGTAATAATGTAATGTTTTTTTAAACGTTATTCTGCTTCTTTTATAAATCTATTCAAGTTTATATTTGTCCAAAACAAGTCTCGTAGTTTATCATTAGCTTCCTCTTCCGGTAGATTATAAAATAAACACATAAGATAATTATTACTTTAAAGATTTAATTAAGTTCATCCGATGTTACTAGCATATTTTTTTTTTTATTTAGACATGTTTTTATTTAAGTCATTTCCTTCATTGTACCTTCAGTAATCCAATAATTGTCGAATTATCATTTTCTATAAATATTTCACGTAATCCTTCTCATCTTTCTATTGTCACAAATTAATCATGAACCTTTGCAAATTATTAATAATAATAAAAAAAAAATAAGTTTATAATTGTCTTTATTATATAACCACGATTTATGTTTTCTCGGCTAGTGGCCTATAGTTTTATCGCGATTATCTTTATAATTTAATAATTCTTTAAATGAGTGTATAAGTGATGTATGTATGTGTGTTTTTTCTTTGAATTAAATCATTTAAGGTGCATTTATTGTGTGTATAAACACCAGAATTTTCCAAATTTTTTTATAACTATTTATTTTATTTAGTATAATGACAAAATAATTTTAAATTAAATAAATTATTTGTACATTTATTTATCGTAATGTATAGAAT